TATTCGGAAGCCGGAAGTTCGATCTCGAGAACGGAGACTTGCGTCTCGTTTCGATTTAATGATATTATATTCTTGCCTTTGAAACAATCGAAAACGAGAAGAATCGTGAAAATTATTAAAATTTTTAATATCTTCATTTATTTATTTTTTCCTTTTTTTAAAGTACATAATAATGATAATTATTCGATGAGAATTTGCGAATTTTGATATTTTGATCATTGAGTTTTATATTTAATATTCTAATTATTTATCGCTTCATTCAATGATGAACTTAAAATTAGAGATTGACCGAAATTTGAATCCGAAGATTTTGAAAATCTCAAAATCAAAAATGTATATTTTCTTCTTTTCTTTATTAAGAATTAAAATTTTAATAAATTTTGAAATCTCTGAAATTTTCTAAATTTCATAATAATCTAATAGCAATAATAATCATTTTTTTGACGTAGAAAAAAATTAATTTTTATCTTTTATCTTTCCTCCATATAAACTAATCAATTATTTACAATAGTTATTATTCATCTTAGTTTTTAAGATTTTCAAATTATGTCATTGCTTATGATAAAATCAATCATTTGCCAGAGATAAGATTCAAACATTTTGTAATCATCTACAACTTAAATTTATAAATGCTTTAGTGCTCGTAAAATAAAAATTCTTATTTTCAAATTTATTTTTCCTCGTTTCTCGATTGTTTTACTCCACAAAAATTCACGTGTCTCAATCGTCTAAAATACGACACACTCTTCTATTCGTTAGAAGACAGAGCACGATAGAACTGAGTATATTGCTATCCGCGCGAGTGAATATGCTTCACTCGACGGAGACTGAAATTTGAAAGGTTATTTGAAAGACTATTGGGTTTCATTTACGATTTGTTTCCGATTTGTTCTATGGCGGTGAAACGAGCTTCAAAATCAAAGCTTCTCGCGATCTTTATGATGATTCGAACGCGAAATGAATATTCACGCATGAAATGGAATACTCTCATCAGGGATATATCGAGCTTCAAAAATTAGGAATCTTTTATTTATTAATTTCAAGTTCTTTATAAAATCATTTTTAAATAAGTGAAAATTGTTTGATAAAAATAGAATAACGTTCAAAATATTTGAAAAGAATTAAATGCAGATATTGAAATATTTTAAAAATTTTCATTAAAAAAATTAAGAAAAATTGTAATCTCAATATTTAAAAGAATTTTGATTTGATAATTGAATATCAAGAAATATTTGAATATTTTTAAAAATTAAGATAAATAGATTTGGAAGAATTTTTATTAAAAAATTTTTGAGAATTATTGAATGCAGATATGTGTTTATATATATATAGAATATTATATAATTTTATTTTATTAGACAAAATTCTAGAGATTAAAATAAAGAAAAATATCGGTTAAGACTGATTTATTAAATTACAAACGATAAAAAGAAGTATAAGATTATAATAAGCAATTAAATTAGATGAAATGTAGATAGAAAAAAATAAAATATTTATCTCTATCACATTATCTTATCTCTTTCAATATAAATTTCAATATTTATAATTTAATAAATAAGCATCAGTGGACATTTTTTTTTAATCAACATTTATGTTTGTTTTGAATCGGTTCATCAAAGATATTCCAAATGTATTATTAACACTTTGTATAAAGTTTAGATTAGTTCAGATACTCCCAAGTTTAAGCAATTGACTGGGAATGCGATTCGAGAAGAATATTTTGACTGAAGCGATATGTGATTGAAGTCTTGTTTGAAAAAAGTTTTTAGTCTGCTTTCACTCCAGATATCGATCAAAGTTTAATCTATGTTACACATGTTTTATTTTAATTTAATTATTGTACAAATATTAAAAAATTATTAAATATAAAATAGAATGTATTTTATATTAATAATTAATAATTCTTAAATTTAATTAAAATTTTTTTTAATTCAATATTTAACATTAAAAAATAGTTATCTATATTATTGTAATTCAATCCAACAATTTATCTTAGATTTAAAAATATAATTTTTTCGAATTCTTATATTTTTTTAGTTATATTTAATATCTCATAATATATTATAGCAATGTGACAACATTTTCAAATGACAATTCTATTTTAACATTTTATATTTATAAGATATCTTCTATTTGTTGTCACTTTCTATTATTGTCAAGAATTGATAGTATAAACACTGTAAAAGTATGCGTAAAAATACTTTTGCTAGAACTGAAATATATTGAACGAATAATATAATGATTTACACATGCTTGTTGTGCGTCGAAATTTAAAACACGAAAATATGAAAAACAGAAAAATTGATTGTAACAAGGCTTTCATTCAAGGTTGTAATAAATCATTAGCTAAAACAGATTGAATTCAAAAATTAATTCAAAAAGGATTAAAATATATTGAAAAATTGAAATAAAATTATCAACAAATGTAGCATCGATACTGTCATGAGATTAATATTTTCTATTTATTCACTGTTATATAAGAGAATACATTGATATATCTTGAAGAAATCGAATGGAAAATATTTTTATTGCATTGACTGCAAAAAAATTTAAAAAAAAAATTTAAAAGCAAATCAAAAGAAGATATTTTATTTGATTGTTCAACAGAATTGCTGACAATGAATATTTTCAGAATGAGAAGAAAATCGAAATTAATTAGAACATCAAATTCATGAAAATTTTTGCAATATGGCAATAACTTTAACACCCGAAATTAAAATCGAATTATAGTATTTCTGCTAGAAAAAAAATATCAGATCGAATCAAAATAAATGACCAATTTGATGAGCACGATAAGTTAAAGAGACTAACGGAACTTTACGAAAAATACCAAGCAGTTTTGTAAAATCAGAAAAAAATATAATTATATCAATGCGAATATATCAAAATTGATGACCATCAATCGTAGATGAGAATGAAATCATGGCAACGAAAAAAGATTATCAGATATTCGAAAAATAACGAAATAAGTTTGCACTGAATGGGACACTCAATAACGTAAGACGAAAATTGTTGTAAAATGATGGGCCAGAACGGCAAGAAATTGATTTCGATGAGATATTTTTGTTCATAGGAAAAATTAGTATTAAAAATCAGTATTAAAAGAATTTCCGTTCAAAAAATAATTGAGATCGAAATATAAATTTTCGAAAAATTTAGAAAATTCCATTTTGAATATTTAAATTAAAATATTCGTCGTACGTTCAATACTCTTATTCATACAATTTAAATCCATAATTTGTTTAAGACAATTATGGAAATCTTCAATATGTTGATTTTTATATACTTAATATAAAACTTAATAGTAATATAAAATATTAAGTTATTTTAAATTATATTGAATAGTATTAAATTTTTGAGTAATATTTTTATCTGCATCTTTTTTAATATCGAAATTAAATATTCAGAAACAATGAGTAACTCAGAATTTCATAATTTGTTTTATACAATTGAAATGGAAATTGACGATCATAATTTAAAGCAAACATCTTGTTTTATGGTCGAAGATATTAATCCATCATTTTACGATTTTCATTAATGATTATGTTCTTCATATGGTAGGTGGAAAATAAATTATACGCAATTTATTTTCTTAATTATCGATTTTATGTTATATTAATGTCGTTTATGTTATATTATGTTCGAGCTGTAATTTTTCATCTTGATTGAACAAAATTAGTGAAATTTCAAGCATCTTTATTTAAGGAACGAACGCGACAGAGATTGGTCGTTACAATGCCAGCACAAGACACGATCATTTTTATTCTATATTTAGCATATTTTACAAAATATGATTTTCATAAATTTATGAATATTTTTTTACTTTAAAATTTCTTTTTTTCAAATTATTTAATATTATGATATAATATAATATTATGATTTGAATTTTTTATATATTTTATAATATAAGTTTATATTTTATACATATAAAAAAGTTAATATAATATTAAATAATTTGAAAAAAAATAAAATTTAATATAAAAATATTTATAAATTTATGAAAATTATATATATATATATATATATATATATATATATATATATATA